CCCTTTATTTGTTTTTTCCAGCACAAGCTGACATAATTTACATAAGCCGGGTGATGGGGGAAGGTTTTTTGGAAGAGAAGGTATGGGCAGTTTCACTTGTGATTGGAGGCTCATGATTGGAGGAAGCCTGTTTGCAGAGACAAGTTATTTCACTCGTGATTGGAGGCTAGCAATAGGAGGAAGCCTGTTTGCAGGCGCGGTTCTTTCCTCGGCTTACTTCCTTGAATAAGATGCCCTTCAATTTTTAGCGTAAGGATTTTAGAAAAAAGTATTGGCTTATAGTTGGAAAAATATGGTAATTCATTCCAAAATCTTATTTCAAGCTTATCAGGACCATTAGTCCATTTGTAACTTTCTAAAATCAAAGTTTTAATCACCCTTTTGCTGTTTATTCTTATTATTTATTTCTTATTATTTCTTTAAGTTCTTAAACGTGTGGTTAAAACTTCCTTTCCCTAAGGATTGAAGACAACTCACCCAGTGCTATCAAACTTGTCAATCCAAAGGTTCCTAACAGCTGAAAAGCAGTTAATAAGCAATTTCTGAAAGTGATTAGAAAAGGACATATGTGAAGCCAGTGTCCTTTCAAAGGGGCTAACCGTGGTTTGAGCAAGATGGCTCTTCCCTCGTCTCCCAGAGCTCTAAACCCATCGGAGATTGCTGTCTCGTGATCTCATGAGGAGCAGCTGTCTGGAGCACTTGTGGGTGATCTCAAGTCCTCTCCTTGTCCAGAGAGGAATTTTGAAGAGCCGGTCTATTCACTGGCTCTTCGTTCTGCCACAGTCATTGGCTCTGCTTTCAGTCTGCCATTTCTCCCTCCAGAAGTGGAGTGTAGACCCTTCTCCACTGCTTTCAGCTAACTTAAAGATCACCTTCTGTCTACGACAGATGATGGGTGTCTAGCCAATAAGTAGAAAACCTAACACTTCTGATGGTGCCATAAGAAAGAAATCGGGGTTGGGCAAATCTGTGTTGCTCACAGATCAGGACACACCAGAATCTCCTTCTGAAACGGAGGCACGGAGTGTCACAGCTCACAGGCAGAGTGCATGGTTCAGAGCAGGCATCCCATTGGGTGCATCCCATTGGGCTAGGAGTACCATTCCCATCATCCCCAACGAGCAGGATCATTGACTGGCATGGATGGGAGCTGTCGTCCAACACATCTGGCAGGCAGCTGCCTGAGGCTGATGTCTAGGTAGAGTTATGCCCTCATTTACAGTTCCTCAGCCATCCTGCAGTTGTCTTAATATTTTGCTTTTTGCATGGAAGATCTTTGTTAGACAAATGCTCCTTGTCTTGGGCCAAACAAAAGCCTTAGAATTGGAGCAGCCCCACAGCGAAAAGGCAGTGCTCCAGCTGGCCTGGAAGAAATCCAGCAGCACCGTTTATATCTAAAGCACGTTGGATTCAGACTGAGAGGCTATCCAAAATCTCCCAACGCACATTTATTTGTTTTGTAGAAATGGTCTCCTGGTGAAATTCCCTTCTGGGGAATGCGGCCTTACAGAGTTGTCGGGTCAGACCTGACTTTATTCTTACTCAGTGCCTTCTTTTCTTCCCTTCAGATTGTCATCTTGGATCTCGGGCTCCTTCAGTTAGGCTGATGTCCTGGCACAGCTGGAAGGTTGCACCATAAAGTCTTGTGTTAGCCCTTTGAAGTAGGCTAGGTCAAGAAACAGACACTACATGGATTCCAGAAATGCTGCTTGATTGCTGTAGGGTAGAATAACAGAATTTTGAAAGCTTTTCCAAGTTTCTCTGTCCCATCTTATGTCAAAGAAAATCAAGGCAGGATTATTTTGAGTTTCATTTGCACGGTTCCTTCAGTCTCTGGATTGGGTAATCACTTCTCCAAGTCATAGGTAGACTGCCCCACTGTTGTAGAGATGTTACAGCTAGAAAGTTTTTTGTTCATATTTTAATGGAAATATAATGTAGCTGCAACATAAACCTGTTGTTTCTGGTCGAAGTTTCTGTGGCCATGGAAAATAGATCCTGACCATCTTTCCTGTAGCTTCCCTTGATGTATCCGCACGTGGCTAGCATATCACCTCTAGGTCTTCTCTTCTCCAGACTGAACATCCCCAGTTCCTTCAGCCTGTCCTTGTAGGACATGTCCTCCCATCCCTGGATCATCTTGGGGCTCTCCTCTGATCCTCTCTAACCTGTCAATATCCTTCTGGAAATGGGGTGCCCAGAATCATATAGAGGGCTACAGATGCAGAAGAGACGAGAAGGACCTAACATGACTTTGTTACGATGCTTCTTCTAAAGCAGCCTCACATCCAGGAATTTTGCAGAGAAGACCGCTGGGTGTCTTGGGAAGAGACTTTCTCCCAATTCTCCTGGTTGGCAATCTGTACAATTTAGGAACTGATTCTAAGTGAATTCAATGTGGCAGGGGGACAGAGGATCCGCTCTGCATGGAGAACTCCCTGGAGGTGGTTCCTGGTCTCCCCAGTTAGAAATGGGATCTCTGTTGAGGGACAGGGGAAAAAAGTACTTAGAAAGCTATGCCAGGGACCTCTAAGTTATGGCTGTGCTCACACATCATGCACAACCACGTCAGGAAAAGGCCCAGGAGATGCATTTGCACATCGAGCTAAGCCTGGGGATAGGGGGGGGGGGGGGGTTGACACATTACGCCACCAAGTCTAACAGGCTAAATTAAAGTGCAGTGTGTTCTGCTCTCCCGTCAACCAGGCAAACCAGGTTGTGTGAATAAAATGAGTGTCACTGTCATGGTTGAGGTGGGGAGGGGGGAGTTCTAAACAAGATGCCCTCAGCCTGCCCTCCCCGCAGCAATCTAACAATTAATCCAATAATGTTTGGGGCAGGATAGCGGGAAGCCAATGGAGGCCCATTTCTGGTTCTCATGCACCCATGTTTCTCTCTCTTGGGAGGGAGGAAATATGGGGCAGACAGCAATTGTGCTGGGGATCCTTTCCTCCAGATGTTTGGGCTACCCAGTCCCATAAAGAGCAGACTCCACAGCCAACAAAAGGGCCTTTGGGATAGAGGGTATCTGGGTGACCAGTTTGCCTTGGGACCCTAAGCAGGGTCAGGTTTGACTAGGACTTGGATGGGAGACCACAGAGAAATCCCACAGTGTAGGCTGGGCTGGTAGTTGAAACTGTATCCCAGAATAAGGCAAGGGAAAACCACTTTGGTGCCGTTGCCCAGAAAACGACATGGATGTGTTCCTGTCGTTATCCAGAGTCAGGCTGGATTTGAACGAAGACCAGAATGTCTGACTCAGTAGGCTGAGATTTTTACTCTGGTCAAACAGCTTCATACAAAGTAGGAGGACACCTTACTCCATGCAGAAGTAAGAGAAAAAGAGTGTGAGGGTGTGTGAAATGTACATTTTCACACTTCCCACATATAAAAGCACAATCTGCACATGGACATTTTCCAACTTGTTTAATGAATCCCTCAGGCATCTTTAATATTTTGTGCTATTGAGATTTCCACTTTCACAAAATGTTGCTTTGGCCTTTAATGGACCTGTTTGGCTGAAAGCACTTTTAAGTAATTTCAAACTTCGTTCTGAGGTGTCTTTCCTTCCTCTTTCCCTTCTGTTTTCCCTTCCCCTTCCTCTCCTCCTTCTCCTTCCCCTCCTCCTTCCTCCTCCTTCCTCCTCCTTCTCCTTCTTCTCCTTCTCCTTCTCCTCCTCCCTCCACTTCTCCTTCCTTCCTTCCTTCCTTCCTTCCTTCCTTCCTTCCTTCCTTCCTTCCTTCCTTCCTTCCTTCCTTCCTTTCCATGCCCTTCTGCCTCTTTCTCCCATTGACG